GCTGCTGCTGCTGCTGCTGCTGCTGCTGCTGCTGCTGCTGCTGCTGCTGCTGCTGCTGCTGTTGATACTGCTGCTGTTGCTGCTGCTGCTGCTGGCGACAGAAGATGCAGCTCTGCTGCTGGTGGAGAGACATAGGTGGACTGATCTCAAGTTAGTTGCTGCTGCTGCTGCTGCTGTTAGGGTTTAGGGTTTGTTTTCTAGGGTTTAGGGTCGAGGGTTTAGTGTTCAGGGTTTGTTTTTTTTAGGGTTTAGGGTTTAGGGTTTAGGGTCGGGTCCGTTGTTTAAGGATCAGGGCATAGGGGTTGTTGTTTAGGGTCTCTTGCTTAGGGTTTAGGGTTTAGCGTTTGTTCTCTAGGGTTTAGGGTTTAGGGTTTAGGGTTGAGGGTTTAGGGTTTAGGGTTTGTGTGTAGGATCCCTGACGGCCCTTTCGTTGCTCTTGCTGCATCCCGCAGCGGCAGATTTGTTGCTGCATTATCTACCACCGGGTATTGCTGCTGCTGCTGCTGCTGCTGTTGCTGCTGCTGCTGCTGCTGCTGTTGCTGCTGCTGCTGCTGCTGCTGATGGTGGTGGTGGTGGTATTCTACTGGATCTGCTGCTGCTGCTGCTGCTGCTGCTGCTGCTGCATCTGTTGCATTTGCTGCTGTCACATCTGCTGCTGCTGCACTTGCTGCTGCTGTTGTATCTTTATATCCTACACCATCTGCTGCTGCTGCTGCTGTTGCTGCTGCTGCTGCTGCTGCTGCTGCTGCAGGGCGTTGCAGGTGTTGCGTGTGGATGAGGATTCGATATATTTAGCTGCTTCTGCTGTAACAGAACGCAGCAGCAGCAGCAGCAGCAGCAGCAGCAGCATAAAACAAATTTGTTGGTGTGGCGATGACTGCTTGGGGCTTTGGGTGCCTCTACAAACACCTGCAGGACACACACAAGTACGCTGCTGCTGCTGCTGCTGCTTCTGCTGCTGCTGCTGCTGCTGCTGCTGCTGCTGCTACTGCTGCTGCACCTGGTGGTGGTGGTGGCGCTGCTGCTGCTGCTGCTCCTGCTGCTCCTGCTGGTGGTGGTGGTGGTGGTGGTGGTGGTGCTGCTGCTGCTGCTGCTGCTGCTCCTGCTGCTGGTGGTGGTGGTGGTGGTGGTGGTGCTGCTGCTGCTGCTGCACCTCGTTGTGGTGGTGGTGGTGCTGCCGCTGCTGTTGCTGCCGCCGCTGCTGCTGCTGGTGCTGTTGCTGTTGCATTTATTGTTGCTGCTGCTGGTGTTACTGAATTTGTTGCTGCTGCAGCTGCATCTGCCGCTGCATGTCCATATCTCTTCTTTCTCGTTTTTCTTCTGCTGCTGCTCCGCTGGTGCTGCCCCTGCTGCTGCTGCCTCTCCTGCTGCTGCTGCTGCTGCTGCTGCTGCTGCTGCTGCTGCTGCTGCTGCTGCTGCAGCATCTGGTGCTGCTGGGGGGCCCGAGCAGCGAATGGACGGCGGTAGAGTTTGCATGCGTGGATGGTGAGGATGAGGGTTTGTTGCTGGTGTCTGAGGTGGATGGTTTGAGGGTTTTGTGTGGCAGCAGCAGCGTGCTGCTGCTGCGTGCTGCAGCAGCAACCGAAGCAGTTTTTGCTGTTGGCTCTTCTCATGCTGCTGCTATGCTTTCTTATACTTTTGAGAAAATAGAAACGGGAGAAACGCATGCAGAGGAAACCATCAGAGCTATACAACCAGATCTTCGTTAGTTTAGACTCCTCCTGCTGCTGCTCCTGCTGCTGCTGCTGCTGCTGCTGCTGCTGGTGGTGGTGGTGGTGGTGCTGCTGCTGCTGCTGCTGGTGCTGCTGCTCCTGCTGCTGCTGCTGATGCTGCTGCTGCTGCTGATGGTGATGGTGCTGGTGATGGTGATGGTGATGGTGATGGTGCTGCTGCTGATGGTGGTAGTCATGGTGATGGTGATGGTGATGGTGCTGCTGCTGCTGATCCTGCTGCTGGTGATGGTGCTGCTGCTGATGGTGCTGCTGGTGATGGTGCTGCTGGTGATGGTGCTGCTGCTGCTGATGGTGCTGCTGCTGCTGATGGTGCTGCTGCTGCTGCTGATGGTGGTGGTGGTGCTGCTGCTGCTGGTGATGGTGATGGTGATGGTGGTGGTGATGATGGTTGCGGTGGGGTTGTTGGTGTTGCTGCTGTAGTGTTCGTGTTGCTGCTGCTGCTGCTGCAGTTGCTGCTTGGACCATACATGTATCCCTGCTGCTGCTGCTGGTGCTGCTGCTGTTGTGTGTATGTGTGTGTGTGCTGCAGCAGCAGCAGCAGCAACCTGCTGCGAAGCAGCAACATATGAATTTTGCATGCGTGCTGCTTCTTTCTTGCTGCTTGCTGCTGCTTTTGGCCGCCGCTTTATTGAGGATGCAGCAGCAGATACAAACAGCGAAAAACTCTTCATCAAAGCATGCAGAGATATCAGGCGAGGGTTTAGGGTTTAGAAGGGTTTAGGGTTTAGAGGGGTTTAGGGTTTAGAGGGGTTTAGGGTTTAGAGGGGTTTAGGGTTTATTAGGGTTTAGAGGGGTTTAGGGTTTAGAAGGGTTTAGGGTTTAGAAGGGTTTAGGAGTTTGTTGTGTATGTTTCGTTTCTTTCTTACGATCCTCCATCTACAACCCCGTA